AGAGCGTCCAAATTGCTAATAACGGTTGTGACAACCCTCTTCCCGTAATAGTGGTACTCCTTGCCGGAATTCTTGGAACCTCCGGAAATTGACCTCGGTGTTTGTTGTATTACCACGTTTTGAATATTTGGTAAAACGTGTTCTCTAAATTCATCATGCGTATTTCGATGTCTTTGGTATCAGATGTTGCTGCTTCCAAAGCAGACACCCGAGCGTTCATGTTCTCGAACTCCGAGCCCATATCCTCCTTCAATTGTTTCAACTCGTACCCCACGTCCCGGACAACACACATCGTAGGGGCCACTTTATAAAATAAAAGCATTTCCCGTATCGATTTCATTGTGACTGCTTCGTCGTCATCGTCATTCTCGCAATCCTCCTCTGGTACACGGTCAACTTCAGCCGATGCAAGCGCGGTACGTCCCAATTGAGGAAAAAAGGAGGTGGTGTTTGTGCTATTGGTACATCGTCGTCCATCTCGTTCAGGCGACTGTGCATGCGAGCCTCTTTCTTCGGCTTTTCGGACGTCCCCATGGAGTGCTTCTCTGCCGGCATTCCTGCCCAAAATGGCGGCGCAAAAGAAAAGCTTAAGATTATAATGCAGACGGAATGTGGGAAGGAAAAGTAAATGTAAGCGGAATATGCTTGAGCGGAATATGTTTGAGCGGAATAACATGTAAAACCACAAAAATTAGAAAAGCCGACGCGTATCGGTCGTAGCGGGGTCAATAATTGAGCAGAATTTTCAATTATTGGACACAGGTATTAAAAACAACGAACATTGGTGCCAATAGTTGCAAGCATTGGTTTCACTACTTTGGCACACATGCATCATCCAGTAAATATGGACACTGGTTTTGAACACCGGTTGCAAAACATATTGCATACATCCAATTCAAGTATTGCGAATATACGTTGTGATTGGCTCGGGGACGAATTTGCATGGATTGCATTCGTTACGACATTTGTTCTTAGCCGCCACTCTCACAACAACGAAGAAGATTTGTTATAATATTACTTTTTTGCTTTTGTGCCCTGGTAAATTCAACCCACGATTGCAAAACGAACGCAAAACAATTTTATCATCATATTCTTCCTCCTTCCTCTGCCCTCCTGGCGCGCATTTGGCGTGTCCCGGCTGCCGCTCAACGTTTTTATTATCCCATTCCCCCCTATCAATTTTCACGGGTATTATTTTGATATGGACTGATGGGGATACGCGAATTTATGATCAATATTCTCTGTGCAACAAAAAAAACAGGGTAAAACGGACTTCCCCGGTTGGCCGGGGAAGAGAGAATACTTGCGAACATGTGCCACATCATTTTTATTGACTTTTTTTTGCACTTGGTTTTGTTTCGATACAGGCCGAAGGAAAAACAACAACAAACCAATAGAAAAAAACAACAAACAAAGAAATGCGAATCATATTTCCAATGATTTGGAAAGAAAGAACATGAAGACAATGTTCGCAACAATGAGAACTACTGCTCACATTCAATGACTAAAATCAATATTCAATTATGGAATCCGCTACTGCCGCTTCATTACTACAAGGATTCATTTTATTATTGCAAACCTGGCCCGAAAATGATTTTGACTGATATGGGTTTTGGAATGCCGGGCCCGTGACAATTCCAGCGCCTCGTCATAACCGACATTCTCAGAATTATTCACGCCGTCCAGAATATTATTGTGAATGCATCCTTTTCTGATTTTTATTTACGATTTTACGAACCGAAGGAAAACATCGCAACACTTCTGAACTGCGGGTTTACGAAAACAAATACCAACATGAAACATATAATGGACAATTTTGCGTGGTTTTTTTGTACTTTTAAATATACAAAGCGGGAGGCCGCTATTGTGGTCGTACATGCCCAAACGTACCGTAACCATTATCTTATATATTATTCCGGTATTGCCGATCGTTGCTGATTGCATCGAAATATAGCTTCTTCTCCCTCAGTGATCACGCCGACGACAAACCATTTCATGCAATGGTTAATGGCGACGGGCCGGAACACGTCGATATCATGTTATTCTGTCCCGTGCGCAATATTTGGTTTCATAATTTCCCTGTACATAAAAATATATTCATAGTTTTTTTGTTTTTTTTGTGTAAAAAAACAAACACCAACAACATATTTTCCCACAGCTTTCTTTATTATTAAATATTTGTTTTTCCTCTTCTTTGGTTTTTATCGTGATTTTTTCCGCATGTCGACATTGGGCAAATAAATGGCAAATGGCCAGCGGTCTGGATTTAAATCTTTGTCATGGTACGATACGCAACAAAACGTCTTAAGGAAGAGTTCGAATTCAAGCCCAAAGCGGCCAACATTTATTCCATGTGGGGGCAAAAGGATGCGAAGGCACGCGCTGATCGGCCAAACATTTGATACGAATGAAATAGAAACTTCTTCAGCCCGCTGTGCGCCTCGCCCAAAGCGGGTCTCGCCTCTAAAGCATCGGGGCGCTGCTGCTGTCGAAGAGCGGCCCCCATGCTTGGGCTGATCGGGCTCGCTACAAAAAACACGTGGGACTTGGCCCGTGCCTCGCTCCTTTATGACCAATGCCTTGTTCCCTTACGACCGCTCTCGTAATGCAGTTACATGACCATAAATTATTATGTGGCTCGCGGGCGTTAACCGTATGTGTGCGTGTGTGCTTTCAATGCTTCGGCCTGGTGTGTTTGAGAAGCTGAATCCGCTGACCCTGTCGGCGTGTGTGAGAGGCTTGGGGACAGCCTTGCAGAAAGGGGAGCTCCTCCTTCCATTGCTCCATATCCCTTAGGGGGCGAAGAACGGGATGAAATAAACTTTTCCGCCGTTGGGGACGCCTGCCCCCGGGCGACTGGTGGCCCCGGAAAATAGCCCCCCCCCTGCCCACGGGGGCCCTCCAAGGTACAAATCACTACTTCTGCATGAGTTTTTGCCCGATTCCATACCTCTCCCTTTCTGTTTCCTACGCTTCAGCGAGGCCCAAGAGGCCCTGATATTTCCCCACGACTGCCGAACGGGCCCCACAACAAAAAGCACCCTCCGAGAGGTCCCCTCCTCTCCCGCCACCTCCCGCATCTTGCGCTGTTGCTGATCTCTTTTCAGGATCGGTGGAACCAGCCAGAAGGCCTTTGCAATATGGTGCATTTTTTGGCTGCGTCCATGGGGATCTTCCAGAGACTTATGTAATGATTCGCTGTTCAACGGATATCTATACCTTCTACTTCTTTGCAACAAAACACGTTGATGGAGACACTGTCGGCTTGATATCTGCAACACTCGCCAGTCCAACGGGCCAACATCGTGCTGGAACTGAATTGGCAAGGTGTTCGGAATATTTCTGTTTTGCTGTTTTGCTAACTCGCGCGCGCGGGGCGGCCCCTGGGCGTTATTTGTTTTGGTTTCTGCAGCATTCTTGCTTGGTCAGGCTTCCAACAGCCCCACAAGCCCCCAAGATGGTGGTGCAAGAAGGCCCAACGACGGTCTAAGCCGGCCGCAGGACAGCCAACCAAAAAGCTCCTAAGACAGCTCCCAGACGCCCAAGATAGCTGCACAGCGGCCCAGAGGGTCGAGACGGCCAAAGAACGCTCCAAGACGACCCCAAAGGCCCCAAGACAGTCCAAGGGGCCTCCATGACGGGTTCTAGAGGGCCTCAAGAGGACCCCCCAAAGGGCTCCAAGAAACCAAGATCACAGATTTCTGAGTATCGCCGCCCAAAAGTGCAACAACGAGCACACTGGCAAATGCCAACGATGCTACTGCATGGGCCGGCGGAGTGCGCGAAACGATCGGACAATTCGACGCCCCCTGCAGGCCTCAGCCGTGTTAGGCTTGAAAAATATGTGATTATGGTGGAATGGAGGATCATGCAATGAGATTCTGCGGCAACTCCTGAGAGACTCCCATACCATCTTGCTGGCTCTTGCGAATTGACGCTGGATCGACGCACGTCGACGCTGACGCTGCACTTTTTCATAGATCACCAAACGCTAGCGCACGCGAGTGCACTCCTAAACGGAGCAACAAGGACATACCATGCTCTCATGATTTGTCACCGACCGAGAAGGAACTGTACATCTATATGTTTATATGTCTGTATGTATGTGTATACATATACACGCATATATACACATATCTATATATGCATCTATATTTACATATTTATATCATATCATATATATTAATGTATATAGACACTGATGTATGTGATACATTCATGCTGGGAGTGGCCTCGCGCATTACGCCGGCCCAATATTGGGCATCCGAAGAACGTATCCGCCCGCCAATTCTCCCCTGGGGCGCGTGCGAACACGTGTGATCCGCGCTCCACAGGGTCGCAAAGTCCTCAATTCGGCACACCCCTCATGCAGTTCTTGCGCCACCTAGGCCTCTAAGACACGTGCGACCATAATATGAATTCACAGCTCGATTCTCCAGGAGCCTCGATCCGGCGCATCCCTCACGCACTTCGTGCCTCATGGACTCCCAGGTGCCCTGTGCAGACATCTCATACGGTAGACAGGAGCTTCGCTCGGCACACCCCTCACGCACTTCGTGGCCCATGGGCCACCACAAGCCGTCTGTAGGCTCTAAGACCGCCTGCCCCTTCAAAGGGATACCCAGATGGCCCTGAGAAGAATTGCAGCCAGTGGTGCCAACCCTCGTCGAAACCAGATCCCGAACATCCACGGATCGCAAAATCTGCGTGCGAATCTCCCCTGGTGACCCGCGGTGACTCCCGCTCTGCAGGCTCGATCTGTTCACCAATGTAATAGTCTTCGCCCAATCGTTGTTGTTACCGTTGGGAAGAGAAATCGCCACATGCGAACCTACTGCGGTGTATCGTAGGTCGTACCAACTACACTGAGTCTGCGAAGAAGGACCCCCTCCCGCCTGGGCTGCCAGGAAGGTGGAGTGAGCTGGGTGGGGTGCCTGCGCTCTTTGTGCCTCCCAGGAGCGACGGACCGCTCGTTCTGATGGGCGCACAATTTGCGGCTCTCAGCGCTGCCCGGCGCAGTCCGAATAGTCCTTCCAAGGATGGCAAAACAGTGCGGAATGTTGCGAGACAAGACGGTGGGCGATGCTACAAAACCGTGCGCTGGCCGAGGGAGGGGCAACATGAGAGGGCAACGATGGAGAAGCGACCAGGACATGCGCGAGCACTACTCCACATCCCTAACCGACCTGCTCCGAAGCCGTCCTTGTGGCGTGGTGCAAGAAAGAAAAAACAACAGGAAAGGACACATGAACAGCAGCAACGGCGGCAGCAGCAGCCATAGAAGGAGCGGTTGGTACCCCCGTTCTGGTCCTCCGTATCGTAGAAGGCCGGTCGGGCTGAGAAGTAGAACGTCTGCTGGCTGGCGCCCCCCCCGAGGCCCTTGACGACCTGGCGAACGCACTCAAAATTTGTTTGGGATGTTTCTCATCGCACGCGACCTCCGACACCGCGGGACATCTGCACCAGCTCTGCAAAGCCCTGTGGCCCCAGGCGTGCTCTTCCTAGCCTGGCTGGGCGAGGGATGTCCAGTAGAGTAACGCCCTGCGCTCGAGTCCCAGCTGCGAGACGAAGGCTCGGCCTGGGCGCTTGCCGTACATCTGCATGGAACTCTGGGATGCCCGACGCTGAGGATGAATATTCTGTGCAGACAAGCTGACAAGTGTACTTCGTTCTTGCGTTATCTTCTTCGCATCTGTGCCTACCGTCTCTGTAGAACTTCCTTGTCGTAGTTCTTCGTTCGTCACTCCCGTTCGTTGGTCACCTACAAGTGTTCGCCAGCGAGGACTGCAAGCAGGGGGTTCTTGTCTCGGGTGCGGTAAGTGTGGCGCAATGTAAAGGATGCGATCTGTTATGCAAGCCATGTGGTGCAAACTATGCGGTGCAACAAGAAAGGCTGGACTGCTATGGACCCATTTTAAGGTATACGCTCGACCCGTGCATCATATACGAAATAAAAACCAATCTACGGAAGGTGAAGGTGAACCGTCGAATCCAGCTTCGGCATGGGAATACATGTTATCGTCATTTGAACAAAAAGCCGGGACAGCCATCCAATTACCAGACACGCAAAAAGAACCCTTTGGTGCAAGCACTGTCTGGGGACCTGTATCACGTTGTTGTACAATACATCTTATCATCGTACTACTGTGTCACTTGACCGCAACATTGCTATACAACGTTTTCGCCTGTTACTTGGCAGCGCAGGCGTGATAACCGCGCTGCCCCAATCCTCCTGCCCCCCAAACGCAGCAAAAGTGGTGGGCAGCGATGCCAGGCCAATGGAGGTGACATAGCGGCAGCTTCAGAACCGCTGCTGGACAGTCAAGGGTACCGCTGCTCACGCCAGCGCAGGGGCATTCGCCTTCTCCAGGCCCTGTTCAGCCTCCGACTTCGGCGATGCGGACACAAAACTTCGAACACAACTACCTTCTTCGTGGCGCCTATTACCCCAAGGTGCGAGTCACTCGTCGTCTACTTCTTCTTCTTCTTCCCCATCCTCCACCGTGCATCCATCCGCCGATGCTCGCCGACTCAACTTTGCGCCCTCTCGTAGCTTGAACAGAAGAAGTCCTGGCAGAAACGGATCCCTGTCCCCAGGCTCTCTCCGGAACCGACCCGGCATACCACGCCATCCCTCGGCCGTGCCCAGACCAAAGGAGGGCCCCAGGAGCCCGAACACGGCGAGAGCTTCCATAGCCCCTCTCCTCCAGCATCTCGGGGCCGCGTAGAAGGAGACTCTGACAAGCCCAGACACTGGCGCGCCTGAGACAGCTGCAGCCACGGGCCGAGGCATCCTCCATCCTCCGCTCCCTCCTTCTGGATCTCACGGAGTGCTGGTCTGCAGCGTCCCAACTTCGGGGTCCCTGGAGGATCCCCTTCCCCCCGTGCTGCCGGCTGCCCCCCCCCCCGCCCATCCTCGACGGCTCCACCCTGCGCGGAGGAGGAGGAGGAGGACCAATGTAAGCCCCAAAACCATCAACGATGTTGCACTAAGTCCTCCCTCCAAATTCCCCCCCTCATAAGTCCCTACAAATATTCACATTCTCTGAAAGAAATGACCCGTTGGAAAACGACCGTCTGAAAGTCCTGAAACGTGCCAGAACACAGTTCCTGGGACTTCAACGCCGCGAATCAAAGATACTGCTGCGTCCTGACGATCCTGAATCGCGCCAGAACGCACCCTAGGACGTCAGACAGCGAACGAACGTAACGGCTGTCCTCTGACAGTCCTACATCGTGCCAAAACACCATTTCTGGGACGTCGGCCATTTTAGAACCCGTGAAGCCGTTGTAAACTCTTCAGGCGAATGTGCGCGGCGCTCAAGCGAGAACCACATGTCGAAAAGGAACTGCCCTCCGTCTGTAAAGCTCTTGCGCGCTTCTAGCACGAATGTCCGCGGCGCTACAGCAAGAACCACATCTTGAAAACGACCCGCTCTCCATCCGTGAAGCACTTGCAAACTGTTGCAACGAATGTGCGCGGCGCCATGGCGAGAAACACATTTTGAAAACCACCCGCCCTCCATCCGTGAAGCTGTAGCAACTGTAAAACTTGAAACTTTCAAGCTTCAAGATCCTAAGTGGTGAGACAATCTCCAGCGACACGCCTGGTCCGCCCTACCAGCGCGTCTCGGGGTGCGACAGGGAGGAGTTGCTTATACGGAAAAAATCAATGAGGAGGCGGATGCAGAGGCGGAGGCGGAGGAGGATGAGGAGAGCAGCTCATCACCGCCTGCCTTGTGCGGCACTGCCTCGTTGCCGCCGAGCCCAGCGCCGTCCGCCCTGGTCGGCGCGGGAGCGCTGCTCGCCGCTGTCGAGAAAAAAGGGGGCTCGGACGCACGCCCCCACCTCTCTTATGCCCTAGGCTCAAACACACACGTATGATGACGCCAACTATATACACGTACAGTCGGACTTGATTGGGGAGGACACGCGAGAGGACACAAGACCCTTCCAAAGGCCACATCGCCATTGGAGTGTAAGAAGGCACGTGTCGCGATGCACAGGACACAAGGGGTCCCTTGACCTGGCAGGGTCGACCTACGCATCTGGGCCGACTGTACACCAGGCCTGGTCGGGCTCGTCCTTGGCCCAGGCTCGGCCTGGCCCAGACCGGGGCAAGTGAACAGCTGGTGCCCTCCGGGCACGGACACCTCACTCCGTCGCCAGGCCACAGTGGCCAAGGGCGACTCTCCAGCCCAGACCGCGACGCGCGAAGCGCGATTGCTTTCGCGCCTTCTGCGGGTGGGCCAGAGCACATCGAGCAAGTCAGGTATACAGCACCCACCAAAGATCACTCGTTTGTGGCAATGTGTTACTCTGATATTCCCTCTCCTCGGGGGATTGCGAGCTCTGCGTGTCCAGAGGAGCTTGAGAAACATGGCGCTAGAAGGAGGAGGAGGAAGAGAATGAGGAGAATGAGGAAGGGGAGGGTGAAGAGGGAAGAGGACGAGATGAAAGGGAGGGTGAAGAGGTGAAGAGGGAAGCATGAGGAATGAAGGGAGAGAGGAATCAAGAGGACTAGGACGACGACTACGAAGAATAGGCGTACAATAACAAGGCAATGCGCCCCCCCCACACACACCAGTTCATGAAGCCTGCAGATGGTGTCCAGTGGGCCCAACGGTGCACAATCTCAAGTGCCAAGGAGCTCAGAAACACTTTCAAACTTCATGCAACTTGCTAACCATATCACGTCTTTCTCCTTTTCCTCCTCGTCCTCCCGCTCCTCCCCTTCTCCTTCCCCTCATCCTCTCCTTCTCCTCACCCTAATAATTACCTTATTCGTAGATGCTCCAACTCTGCCACCTAGCCGGCCAACCATCCTTCAATCGGGGTGCGTCCATCCTCCAGATCAAAGCGACTTAAACATGCTCATTTTCAATACCAGAGCGGATCTTTGGATGTCGGCGTTACATACCTTGCGCGAGAGGCACATTATGCTGCTCTCGCCAAAACGCCGTGCGCTCAAATTTCGTGATACTTGGACTCCCGCTTCAAGGCGGCACACCTGAGGTGTTTGCCAAATCGTTGGAGCGCGAACCGTACCCGAAAACGACATGTAGGTCTCGCCCAAGTCCACCGCAAAGACTGCGGCGCTCCCTCTGTAAAGTCGAGAGCAAAGCCGCATCCGAGTGAGCGGACCCGCTCTTGCTTTTGCAAGTTTAGCCCGTTGCCCTCGCCAGTCCTGTTCAAAACGTCTTTGCGCGCGGAAGAATTCGATTGTGTGATTTTCCCCAACGCCGCGCGCATCGATTTTCAAAGCTCAGCTTCCGCCTGCGCGCGGCACATGGTCTTCCCTCGCCATGCTGTCGGACGCGGGGCCGCGCGTTCGATAGCTCCCTCCGTTCGAGGTGGGAATGCTCGCCAGCTCCAACATACCTTTGCGCCCGCAATCTATAACATGCTATTTGAGGGCAGCTTGGAGTGGGCAGGGCTCGCTGGCTGGCTCGAGCTGGCCAACTGGACCCTCCTTCTCCCTGCTACTCCCAGCACCTCCTCCTCCTCTTCCTCCACCTCCTCCTCCTCCTCCTCCTCCTCCTCCTCCTCCTCCTCCTCTGTCCCCCCTCCTCCTACGTGGTCCTCCTCCTCCCTCCTCCTCCTCCTCCTCCTCCTCCTCCTCCCTCCTCCTCCTCCTCCTCCTCCTCCTCCTCCTCCTCCTCCTCCTCCTCCTCCTCCCTCCTCCTCCTCCTCCCTCCTCCTCCTCCTCCCTCCTCCTCCTCCCTCCTCCTCCTCCTCCTCCTCCTCCTCCTCCTCCTCCTCCTCCTCCTCTCCTCCTCCTCCTCCTCCCTCCTCCTCTCCTCCTCCTCCTCCTCCTCCTCCTCCTCCTCCTCCTCCTCTCCTCCCTCCTCCTCTCCTCCTCCTCCTCCTCCTCCTCCTCCTCCTCTCCTCCTCCTCCTCCTCCTCCTCCTCCTCCTCCTCCTCCTCCTCCTCTCCTCCTCCTCCTCCTCCTCCTCCTCCTCCTCTCCTCCTCCTCCTCCTCCTCCTCCTCCCTCCTCCTCCTCCTCCTCCTCCTCCCTCCTCCCTCCTCCTCCTCCCTCCTCCCCTTCCTCCTCCTCCTCCTCCTCCTCCTCCTCCTCCTCCTCCTCCCTTTCCTGCTCCTCCACCGAGCCCGGGCCGCATGCCGCGCGCTACGGCCTGCGGGAGGCGCTGCCCGCCGCGCTGCGGTAGAAGGAGGTGATGCTGCCGACGTCTGGTCCCTCCTCGGAGGCCCTCCACCTCCGCCTCCGCCTCCTCCTCCCCCGCCAACTCCTGCTCCTCCTCCTCCTCCTGCTCCTGCTGCTGCTCCTCCTCCCTCCCTCTCTTCCTCCCCTCCCATGCTCTCCCCTCCCCTCCCCTCCCCTCCCCTCCCTCCCTCCCCCCCGCCTCCTCCTCCTCCTCCCTCCTCCTCCTCCTCCTCCTCCTCCTCGTCGTCCTCGTCCTCGTCCTCGTCCTCGTCCTCGTGCTCGTCCTCGTCGTCCTCCTCCTCCTCCTCGTCCTCCTCCTCCTCCTCCTCCTCCCTCCCGCTCCTTCCCCCTCCTCCTCCTTCTGCCTCTCACTCCCTTTCCTCAACCTCCTGCTAATCGTGCTCCCGGTCCTGCTGCTGATGCTCCTCCTCCTCCTCCTGCTTTTCCTCCTCCCTGTTTTCGGTCATCCCGACCTGGACGAACAAACATCTTAGCGTCTGTCCCTCCGTCCCTCATCTACCTCCTCCTCCTGCTCTTCCCGAGTCCGACGACCAAGGGGGATAGCACAGGTGGAGTTATCGAATCAGCTCGCGCAACTGGTTTCCCCAGCGCCAGAGGCGCCGTTTCCCCGGTGCCAAAGGCACCAATGTATAGAGGGAAGCCGCCTGCGGCGGGGCAGGAACCAGCTGCACGCAGCAGATTTCGTACCCCCTCCCTTCCCTTTTCACCCCCTTTCTTCCGACCCGTTCCTCCATTCCTTTTCTTATTCAATCCTCCCTGTCGCACCCCGAACTCAGTCGGAAGGGCGGGCCGGGCGTTTCGCGTGAGACTTCCTCGCCACTGCTGATCCTGAGGCTCAGGATGTGGCAAGGGGTTCCACGGATGGAGGGCGTGTGGTTTTCCAAACGTGGCACTCGCCGGAGCGCCGCGCACATCCGTCCTAAACGCTGGCCGACGTTTTACGGATTGAGGGCGGGTGGGCTTCAACGTGTGGTCATCGCTTTAGCGCCGCGCACATCCGTCTCCAAACTTTGCAAGAGCTTCACGAATTGATGACAGGCCGTGTTCAAAATGCGGCACTCGCCTTGGCGCCGCGCGCATTCGTTCAAAAAAGCTGCAAGAGTTTCGCGGAAGGAGGGCGGGCCGTTCCAAAATGTAGCTCTCGCCTCAGCGCCGCGCACACTCGTCATACAAATGTGCAGCAGTTTCACTGATGGAGGGCGGTCCCTGCCTTATCGCCGCGCGCCTTCGACTTAAGAGTTTACTGCGGTTTCAAGGATTCTCATGGCTATAGTCCCCCAAATGGTGTTTGGCACGATGTCTGACTGTCAGGGAGCACCATTTAAAATGGTTCGTGGTGTTGAAATACCAGTGATGGTGTTCTGGCACGATTCAGGATCGTCAAGACGCAACAGTAACGGTGGTTCGCGGCGTTGAAGTCCCGAGAACGGTGTTCTGGCACAGTTCAAGACTTCAAACGATTGTTTTCCAATGGGGTACTTCCTTCAGTGAACATGAGCTCTTGCAGGGGCCTATAAAGCGGGAGCTTGGAGGGAGAGTTTTTCTTTTTGCAAGATCGTTGATGAGTCTTGGGTTTACACTGGTCCTCCTCCTCCTCCTCCTCCTCCTAATCCACCTCCTCCATTCCCCCCCGTTCCTCCCTCCCTCCTCCTCCCTCCTCCGCCCTCCTTCCTCCTTGTCGAGAAGGGAGGGGGGAGCGGGAGCGGGGAGGATGACGAGGGGGGGGATCGAGGAGAAGACGGAGGATATAGGATAAGGGATGAAAGGGGATCGAGGAGGAGAATGAGGAGGGGGATAAGGAGGAGCAGAACGAATTGGGAGAAAGGAAGGGGGCGAAGGCGCCCATCATTTCTTGGTGCCGCGGGGCTCTAGCTGCAACATCGACGAGCTCTGAGCGCCAGACTTCCCGGGGAGATATCCAGGACGCCGAGAAACTGGGCAGCAGGCGCAGCGACAGGCAGACACAGGTGGAACCGGACACCCGAATCTGCGCTCACCAGGGGAGGCCCCGACGAGCATGAGGCTCGAGGCACACACGAGCGCCCTGGAACGCTCTGAGAGCGTTCGCGAGAGCTGCGGAACTGCTTGTCCTCGTGCTGGGCCTGCGGATGAAGGGGAGGAGGGCCCCTCTCCCCGCGTACCTCCCGACCTTATGTTTTTCGGTGCTCGGGCCCACTTCCCATGGACAATTTCTTTTTTTTTTGTTGGGGGGGGGGGCTCACGACCCGAAGCCGGCCCCTGGAGGCACTCTCTCTCTCTATATATATGTATATTGCGAAAGACCCATTGTTCGCGAGGCGTTGGAAATCCTGCCCCCCCTCCCGCCCGCGGGACGGGCTCCTTGCGAAGCATGCTGCGGTCGACCCCTCCGGCTGCCGCGCCCGACTCCTGGATCGCGAGCTGTGACAGGTCGGGGGATGAGAGAGCCTCAGTGAAGGAGGCAATAGGAGGGACGACAAGGAGGAGGAGGAGGAGGAGGAGGAGGAGGAGGAGGAGGAGGAGGGGGAGGGGGAGGAGGAGGAGGAGGACGGATGAGGGAGGGAGGGAGGAAGGACAAGGAGGGATGGAGAATGGAGAAAGAAGAGGACGATGAGGGGGGTAGGACGGTAAGTGAATGGTGGGAGGGGGGAGGGATGGCTCAAGAAGCACTGTCCTGCAACGCTTCTGCAGAACAACCAAGCTACTACTACTAGTACTACTCCTACTACTACTACCACTACTACTCCTCCTCCTCCTCCTCCTCCTACTACTACTACTATTACTTCTACTACTGCTACTGCTGCTACTACTACTACTACTACTACTACAAAAACTACTACTACAAAAACTACTACTACTACTACAACTACTACTACTACTACTACTACTACTACTACTACGACTACGACTACGACTACGACTACTACTACTACTACTACTGCTACTACTAAGAATCGTACTGATTACGACAAGGGATGAACATAATACGAATGACAGGAATACGGATACTAAGTATAGGCATATTACGTTTCGTCAAAACACGAACATAAATACACAGCAATCATACGAATTATAATGGTACGGACAATACTACTGGCAGTAATGATGCAACTGTGAATACCAATAATACTGTTAACACAAATAATGACAGCTCTAGTGCTAATTACAAAACGTATGATATGAATAAGAAGACTAATTCATACCAGCCCCATCAGATATAGGAGCCTGACTGTGAGTGAACAGAGTGTGCGTGAGTCTGAACGTCATTGATCAGTGTGTGGGTGAGTCTGAGCGGGACTGAGGAGGAAGAAGGGGTGAGGATAGGGAGAACAGGGAGGAGGGAGGAGATGAAGAGGAGGGGGAGGAGGAGGCGTCACACTAACAAGAACACTATCTAGGATGTGGTGAGCCAAACAGGCAAACTGCCTGAGACATCCGAGAGGGCGCGAACGGGCCAATGCCATATAGTACCACCCCCTGGGGGTTCCTCCTTCGGATACCCAAATGCTACACCTGCAATATCGCGGTGAGCATCGCCCCCCCGACAGAGAGAAACTTGGAGAGAAAGAAACAAAAAAACGGCCAGAAACATCCCCGCAATCAGGCCGCGCACGGGGAACACGGAAAAGGAAGCCACCCCTGGCGGCTCCTCCTTGGGCTGCTCAAGTGCAACGCCTGCTAGATTGCGGTGAGCACTGGAGCACCAAAAGTGTAAGGAAGCTGGGGGAGGGGGAGGGCAAGGCAAGCAGACCGCCTGAGACATCAGTACAAGCTGCCCGCGAACGGGCGAATACCCCCCCCTTCCCGGCGGTTCGACACCTGGGCGGCCGCCCCTTTCAGGTGCCCAGGTGCCACGCCTGTTATACTTACTGTGAGCATCGGACAACCAAGAGAAAAACAAACATCGGGTGGGGGGGGTGGGGCTAGGCAAACCGCCTGAGCCACCCCCAGAATTTGGCCGCCAACGGGCGGGTGAAATGCCGTCTGGCGGCTCCCCCTTAGGGTGCTGAAGCCAGCGCCTCGCTCAAGACATCCTCGCAACTTGCGAGTCTGAAGATGCTTGGATTGCGTGAGTGAGTCCGAGTGTGTCTGGGAGTCAGTGAGTCTGAATGTGAGTGACTCTGAGTGCATGTATCAAAGTGTGAGTGGTCTGTGTATGTGGGCCTGTGTGCGAATGAGTCTAGAGGTGAGTGAGTCTGAGTACGAGTGTATATGAGTGTGCGCGGGTCTGTGTGTGTGTGTGTGTGCGAGTCTGAGTGTGAGTGAGTCTGTGTGTGAGTGGGTCGGTGTATGAGTGAGTCTGGGTGTGAGCGGCTCTGGACATGGAAGGATACGTTGGAGATTAGTGAGTCTGAGTATCAGTTCGCTTGAGTACAAAGAGGAAGGAGGCGGGAATGAATGAGAAAGTAAGGAGGCGGAGGCGTCACACTACTAACGAGAAACCCGCCTTAGGACATGGGGAACTTCTACAGAAGTGCAAGGCTGCGACGCGACGCTGCAATGTGTATACCCGCTGCTGCAAACCCCATGGACGAACATTGCAATTTCTAACCCAGCGCCTCCCCATGGTCGTCTTGAAAGGTGGTCACGTGCATTGCAGCAAAACGTGTGTGGCGATGTAAGTTTATTGACTGTTACCCGAAACATTGTAGAAACCACTCCAATGACACGAATGCCGCTGCAGGCGTTGAATCGAGCAGATGCCCAAAATCTTGCTCTGCAAGAGAAGTGCCTGCTGGCAAGAGTTCCCTGTGACCCCATCTACTGTGCCGCCGTCTCGGGCGCCCCATGAACAACTGACCCCAAGGGACAGCCCCAGGATCCAGGACCGTTTCCCTCAAAACGCGCTTTCTGCCAGGCGAGGATCCGTCTCGACCTCACTACTAACAATATTTCCGGCACAGACTGCTACCCGGCTGCGGATAAATCAATGCACGTCGAAACAGCGACCCACGCAAACACATTTAGACACTTACACACTTACGCGCCTACACACTTACATACACACTTACACACGTTTGCACACACTTCACCACACATGTACACACACTTATACTTACACTCTCACACACACACGGGACCGACCGCATCGCACTGAAACAATCAGCCATGGCCAAAACTGCCTCCTCAACGTCCTCGCCCTCTACTTCCCGACCTTCGAAGGCAATCCAACGCTTCGAGCTGTCGGGATTCTTCCAGCCAGGAAATGGTCCTGTTCCTTCGCGAGAGACCTGCTGCTGAACTCGCTGACAGCCGGAAACTTGTTCACACCCTCTTGCCTGCTGCTGCTTCTCGTCCTCTTCTTTCAGACGAGGTGGAAGCACTGTGACTCGCAAGGACGCTGGCGGAAAGACCGACGTGCCGCTTGTGACTACAAGCCGTCGCATGGCATGAAGACCATCCACCAGTGATGAATTGCTGGCCATGCCCGTGCTGTGAATCTATTTCAAGTGTTCGATTCCCTTGGACCCAGATGCATCGTCAATGCGAGACAACGTGGTCCTGGCTGGCTTCAGTGAAGGGTTTGCGACGTCGAGGTTAGCAACTACTGGGGTGCTCGAAAACAAAGCGCGCCACGACCGCCCATGCCGCTGGCCATCCGCGATCGCGATACCCTGTCTTCCCTCAAGATGCGGACGCCTTGGCGTTCATCTCTGGCGGCATCGGCGCGTAGGGGAGCAGGTTGCCCTCCCTCGCTGACTCGTGGAGCAGAACAAGGCACACCCACCGACACCAAGCAAGTCTGAACGGACGCAGGTGCCAATTAAGCTCGGCGAGCGCAAAGCGAGAGAGAGAGAGATAACGAGAGAAAGAGACACTACATATACATGTATGTTTACATCTATTGAACAAAGAGAGAGCGAAAGAGACAGCAAATATATATATATATATATACAGAGAGACAAGAAGAGAGAAAGAGAGAGCGATAGAGAGAGAGAGAGAGAAAGAACGCCGTGGACCGCGAGAGTATATGCACATACGTGTAAGTCGTATGTACATGTGCATATACAAGTCTGTACACACGAATAACGATTATCAAGCTGGACGGACACGCGTGCAAACATCAATCCTGCACGGCAGGCCCCTCAAGGCGATGAATTGGCGCTTCGGCGTCCATGCGTTCGCCCCTGGGCCTATCACCACCCCTGTCGCTGCCCCTGAAGATCCCGCCCCTTCCTGGCGAGGTTCACGACCTTCCGCGGGCAGCTAGCCCTCATGGGCGGGCAGCGGAGCGGTTGCCCTGGAAATCGGTTCTGAGAGGTTGCCGAGTGCCCCTGGCCCAAGGTGCCCCCCCAGTTTCTGTCGGCACTTTTGGGGAAGACATTTCCTGTAAGCAACCACCTGTAACTTCCTGCAATCAACCACTTGCATAGGCGCCGCATCTCTCGGCAAGATGCAACAAATTGGGGCTCTGCTGCGGCTCACGACCCTGGCGGTGCGAAGCTTTGCCCGTGATCCCCGAGGATCGCGCAGGCAGCTGCCAAGCATTTGTTGCAGACTTTTGGGCGTGCTTGGCAATTTTTCTGTCTCTGCCAGCCCCGTGGTATCTCGTGGGGTCAGGGTTCGGGGCGGCACTAAAACTCACCGCCCAACGGTGCCAACATGCTCGACCCGAGTGCTTCAGCTGCAATCCGCGCGGACCTCCGAGTTTTTATGTTTATGTCTTTCTTCCTTCCCCTAAACATACTGGCTTGGCGGCGCGACGGGTGGCCATCAGTTACGCGTCGTCGCGGCAAGCCACGTTGCCCCCAGTGTGGTCCACATGCCGCGTCGGAGCGCTCCACGAGCGCCGCCCTGCATATGGGCGGGCGGCGCATCGGATCGACGGAAATCGTGGTTTGGGGACGGTGCCGGGCCATCCCACCAGCCCTCTGGGATGCGTGGTTCAATTCTTCCTAGGGGAACGAAGAACGACATACACATAAAAACTCGGAGGCCCGCGCGGATTTCTCATATCGGCGCTGGGGCTCCCTGGCGGCGCCTCCGGCGCCGCCCCTGGCGCGCTCCGCGCGCCAGGGAGGGGGGTCCAGCGCGGGTCCGAGAAATCCGCGCAGACCTCAGAATTTTCATGTTTATGTCATTTTTCGTTCCCCGAACCCTCCACTTTTTCACTCTCGGGGAGAGGTTTGCCCCTCCCACCATCTCCAAACCAGAAGACTTCCGATTCCGCCGGGCGAAACCTCCTGCAGGCCTCCTCAGGGGCCTCTCGGGGTCGTCTCCAGGGCATATCTTGCAGGCCTCTGGAAACTCTTTGGAGACATCTTGCTGCCAACCATGGCTGCCAACGGCGACTGTTTCACGATTCGGACGGCTTCTGGGTCCTCTTTGGGCCACGTTAGGGCGGCTCGGGGCCTGGGGCCCCGTTGTACCGTCTGGGTGCCATCTCGTGGCTCTGCTGGTCCGTCTTTGGGCGCTGTGTTGGAGGCCTCTGGGGCCGTCTTGGGCGCTCTGAGTGCTGAGGAGGCGAGTACGACTGGCAACATCATGCAACAGCGAGCGGGCAATCCATGGTTTGTACCCCTTCGGGGCCTCGTGCGAGTCTGCGAGGGGCCATCTTGAGGCGTCCTGGCGACCTCCGAGGCCGTCTTGTGGTAGTCTCTGGGCGTCTTGGGGGCATCTGGGGCCGACTGTGAGGCTGTCGCAATGTCTGATCTTGTCTCGTCTCGTCTTGTACTGTCTCGTCTTGACCGTCTTGTAAGCGAAATCGCGCTCGTGCTGTCGCTCGTGAGGAGTGGGAAAAGTCCGCCCGCCTTGTTAGGGGAAACCCAACCCGCTAGGTCTGGACGCAGGGTGCCGCGAGCGGTCAGAGCGTCCAACATGGCCCAAGATGGTTCCAAGAGGGCCCCAGATGTCCTAAGATCTCCCCGTAATGCGGCACAACATGGTATCCCAATGTGTGTTAACGTATTGTATGGGATGCCTTCAAGAGGCTCCATGACCCCCCGAATATCCAATCGAGGGGGTAACATAAATCATTCATGTAGTGTCAAGGCTTTCGTCTTGAAACCTTTTCGCTTCCGATAGGCTTCTGACGCCTTAGTCTGGCTCCACGATAGCACAAGAGAGCCCCAAGCGGGACACATACAGGCTCTTCCGTCCCTCCTCACTCCTCTTCTGCGCCTGTTTCCCCAAGGCTCCCACACAGCGGGCACGCCAGTGTGCGCATGCGCCGCAGATCCGTGCGAGGGAAAGCTGCAGATCGACAGGGCGACTGGGGATGACGCGGGAGAGAGAGAGAGAGAGAGAGAGAGAGGGAGAGAGGGAGAGAGAGAGGGAGGGAGAGAGAGAGGGATAGAGAGAGAGAGGGAGCGAACGACAGGCGCCGAAGATGAAGGCAAGGCATGCGACACCGGAGCGCAGTGGGCGAGGCCCGAGCCCATCACGCCCGCTCCCCCCGCAGGTGCGGGGCCGAGCGGGCGGCCGCGCGCGCTACCCGAGCGCTGCCTCGCGTGCCCCGCCCTGCCCCGTCCCCCCCCCCCCGCCCCCCAAAGCCCGCCGCCTTCTTGGACGGCGGTGGCGGCTGCCTGCGGCCGAGGGAGCAGGGCTTCAGGGACCCTCTTCCCCCTTCTCCTCCTCCTCCTCCTCCTCTTCCTCCTCCTCCTCCTCCTCTTTTTCCTCCTCCTCCTCCTCCTCCTCCTCCTCCTAGCCGCCATCTCCCCTCCCAAAGGATTTCGGCAGCGGCGGCGTCCCCAATCTCGGCCCTCACCCAGCGTTCGTCCCTCTCTAGTGCCTGCCATGTGCGGTCACTGACGGATGAGTCGAGCTGGACGAGGGGCCTGTGGGATCATGTGTAGTCTCATCCGTGCCGCTTTGTATAATCCTCTGTCTCTTTGCACGGCAGGCAGAACGCTGGAGATTGCGCAGGAGCTCGACGTGGACATCCTGCTGATGCCTGGCACGTGTATTCGCGAATGGGAGGGAAGGACATACCATACAGAGGATCTTGGAGGAGGCAGATTCACTGCAGTACATTATGGATGGCGACGTGCACCATACAGCAACACGAGTGCGGGAGTTTGTATTATTCTAGGTCGTCGATTTCGTGCCGAACATATCTATTCAATCGTCTCTGGCCCTACTAATGCACCAGGTCGTTATGGGGAATTACGAATTAAATCTGGGCTCCTGGATATCACTGTCATATGCGCTTACCCACCACCCATTTACTCGGACGGGACAAAACGGAAGGCCCAAGTGACGGCCGCTACTACTGTAATGCGATATTTTCGTAGTCGAGTCGAACGGTGTCGTTCCCGAAGTACCCCGATCATAGGCATGGACATCAATTCAGGATTCGGACTCTGGGAAGATGGAAGCTTGGTAGACCCCGACCAGAACCACATCGGACCTCATTACTTGAAGAAAAACGGCCCATCTTGAGAGATATTTTCAAATATGTTGCTAGACCTCGACCTCATGGCCCCTGGAAGCTATACTCTGCAGTCGGGGCCCACATATTACGGACCTCAGGGAGATAAATCAACCTTGGACGTCTTCGCAATCCCAAAGGGGCTAGGTCCTGGAGTGAAACACTGTCGAGTTGCCTGGAGAGCTGGCCGCGTCTTACAGCTAATCCCTCGGAGCGCCCCACGAGACCGTGTACCCGTTATCTTAGCTATGCAGTGCGAGTCTCCCGTGACGGTGCCGAAGACTCTGCGACCCCGATGGGACCACAACAAAGTGGCTGAGGCTCTTCAGAATGGAGCTCATCGAGAGGCTTTTCACTTGGAACTTGAACGAGAGATGCTGGCCCAAACTACATATTTCTCCGACTGCAATGAGAATGACCAACACGCGGATAACTATTACAATCGTTGGGCTGAGGTCGTGCAGCGAGTTGGCCTTAATCATTTTGCCATGCCTGATCGACCTGTGGATACCGTAGAGCGTCGACTCCAACAAGAACGACTTCGACTTGTCCGAGAACGTCGCGCACATCGAGCTGAGGCAGCAGAGTTCTTCGCCATCTACGGTCACCACCATAGTTATGACGACACCCACTTTGATTGTTTGAAGCAGATCAGACGGATATCGAACCAACTTCGTCGTTGGGCCCGCAGACGTCGCGCACTACACCGCGAACGGCTACATCAAGAACTTCGAAATGCCCGAGCAGCTGGACAACAGGCTGAAGTACAAAAGCTGGCTCGACTTCTCTCTGGCCGCTCTACTGGTGTGAAGAACCGACGCTACAACACGATTACCTCATATCGACCGACTCTCCCAGAACTCCAACAGCATCTATCTCAAGCCGGCGCTGATGGATGCATGGAGGCGACTTACCTTCCCGATCTGGATAGCATGATAAACAACTTTCTCACGGAAGAGGCGACCATCAAGATGCGCACTCACAGCATGGAACGGACGACGGAGGTTATGCTACACAATATGGTATGGAAGCTTCGCAGAGCACGAGGACGACGATGTGGGCCGAGCTCGCACTCATAGTCTTGGAGCCTGGCCATCTTTCACGTCAAAAGAACATGAAGTTCGGCATCGGCTACGACGGCATGGGAAACGCACAACTACCCGATACAGCTGAGGAACGTCCTGGATTGGGCTTCCATCAGAAAGAGGCTTCGCCTCCGAACGTCGCCACACCCATTTGCTGGATTCCTGGAAACTCCCAGTCCCAGGACAAAACATCCTGGCCACCTGGCCTGGGCTCGCGGATCGCCACACCCGTGTCTCCCCAGGGAGAAGGGCAACAGCCAGCGGAGTCCCGCCTCAGCTGGCCAACAGGCGACGTGAGCAGCGTCCACCTCGGAGCCAAGGATCCTCCGCCCCGTCGGAGTGGTGATGATGAGGAAAAGAGTTCTGAGGTGAAAAACTGGAGAACGCCACCAAATAATGTCTCTGGGCCTGGAGAGCCAATACCACCGACACCAGCGCTACCTGACTGGGATGCTGCTGATCGAGACCCCTTCGACGACTTGAATGAGGAGGCCCTCGACTTCGCCATGGCATTTGAAGAGGGGCCGCCACCGGTGGTCCCAGAGATGCTTCACAACATTTCCAGCTTCTCCAAGCCGCCAATCCTGACCGACCAGACGACCAGAGCAAGAGATGGGCGCGACAACGTGTTGAACTCCACATCCAAGCTCACTCGTGCTCGGAAGGAATTCGAGAATCTCGTGATCCGATCCCTTCAGGTTGGTCAACTTCCAACGAAGTCGAGTATAACAGAAGGAGTCTTGTTGGACAAGTCCAACGGCAAGGCCCAGATGCTGAGTCAACGTATTGTGCATTTATCTGATGTTTTCTGGAAGTATTGGTATGCAGTTTTATATAGTTACGGGGATCGCGACGAACAATTTGATAGATCTTTTCCTGGCCACTGGCATGGTTTTCTGAAATATCGGAGGAGAGAAGGAGCTATACTAGTCCAGCTACGAGTAGGATGGTCCCTGAGGAACTCCAAGACCCCGAACGCATGCGAGTTGCATGACATGACGAACGCGTTTATGTGTCCTCTTGCTGATGACCTCCTCATCCAGTCTGAAGATCTGGTCCGCGAGGATTTGAAGGATTATGCACACCAGCGCCTAATCAACAGTGTCGTCAAAATCCCGATCGACAACAAGTTTGAGGCCTTTATCTGTAAGAATGGGGGACTCCAGGGCTCTTGTGGGGCACCGAGGCAGTTTGCAGGCGTTTTCGACAAGTGCTACAACGAGATCCACGAGGCCAGCGGGACCCCCATCTATATCTACAGCGCGTTCGGGACCCCCACTCTGGACTGCTCCATGGTAGGTTTCGCTGATGATTTATTTCGCCGTCGACTTTTAGAAGACTCTTCGGTTTCAGGGGCTCTGGAGGCGATTCGACTGGGAGACGAAAGCATGAATAACATTCTTGGGAAATGGCACCTCCGTCAGAACATGCAGAAGAAAAACATCATACCATGTCTAGGATCACACACATCGAACAAGCGTTTCCAGGAGAGTTGCCCCAATAGCTACGGCACGGTGCGCACGAGCGCCAGACACTTAGGTGCACGCCACCACATGCGCGGCTCCAACGCCACCGAGCTGGAGTTTCGTATACGAGCTATACACGCAGGCTGGTCTGTCATTGGTTTATTTTGGCACGAACGAGGTTTACGCAGATTGAAGCGTGAGTTGTCCCTGGGCAAAGTAGTGGAGAGTGGCATCACAAGTCTTGGGGCTTTCGCTTTGTCTCCTACCGAGTACCAGAAAATCGACTCTTGCATCGTCAAGTATTGGTGAGTTCTGATGAGAGGTGCTGCCACTTTCCACGATGGCTCTCACACTCACTCTCTGCGGAATTCCGAAGTGCTTTACAGATGGCGAATTCTCCCTTGCCGTGGGGAGTTGGCGGTGCGTCGAGTCAAGTGGTTACAGAGCATGCTTCTGCACCGACACGCACACTGTCAGACGGTAGCAGGTATTTTTGGCCACCTCAGTGACGAGGCTCCCACTTTACAGGATTGTGGACAGCTCAGCGACGCAGCGAACCCGTGGGCCAAAACCTTCGACCAGAACCTCCAACTCTTTCGAGGGATCAGTGGGACCGAGAGTTTTTTCGAAGTTTGGTAAGATAGTGGTTTCTCGTGGAAGGCGCTCTTCGACCCCTCCTCCGAGTCCTCGCATGAGTTTCTGAAGATCGACCCCTCGATTCTTAGAGCCGCAGCTTTTACGGATTATGACAAATGGTGTTCTCTATTTCCTGAATTACATTGTCCTGAAACCAAGAGCGAAAACATCTTTACGTGTATGATCGAGAACTCGGAGGGCTCCTCCTGTGGTCTCCACTTTGACACTTATCGGGCACTCATGGGCCACCAGACTAACGGACATCGAGTACAGTATATCCTACATAGTGGAGTTACTACGAATCAGTGCCCCAACTGTCTTAGCATCTTTCGGGACGTTGACAACGCACGCAAACATCTTAAACAATCATATGGATATGGTCGTTGTGCCATGGGTCGTGCTCACATGTCCTGGGAACCCAAGCAGTTGGATGAATGGAAATGCCCTATCTGCCCCGAGCCCTCCGTAGTATTTGAATCGAGTATCTTGTTGTTTCGGCATCTTCGCGATTTACACCTACCACATCCGCTACCTAGGCTACATCATGCCGGCCTGTCTCGAGGCCCCCGAAGGATCTTCTCCGACTCAGGAGGAGGACAAAGGCAAAGGCAACGACAAGAGCAAGAAGCAGAAGACCGACGGCACGGGCAACGCGGCCGAGGTGTCCGCCGCGCTCAAAAAGAAGATCGACGACCCCACTCGCAAGCTCTTCTGCCTTCTCATGAAACAGCTGCTCAAAGTCAGCCAACAGGGACGCGATCTCGCAGGAGTGGTCCTGGACACGTTCATATTCCCAGCCACGTGCGTGCTGATCACCATGATGAGCGAGCAGACCGTCCTATACGCCGCGGCCGTCAAGAAAGCAGGCAAGGAGCACGAGTTCGGCCCGCCGTTCATCTGGGCCATGGGAGGGTTGCTCAAGGGACTGGTGTCCCTGGGCGACGCGATCGGAGCACAGAACGCCCAGCAAGTCAACAAGTGCTTCAAGGAGTACGCCGAGTACTCAGTCGACACGAAGTGCGAGCTCGTGCTAGTTTGTCGCCAGGACAAGGTCTACAACAAAGGACAGCGTCGCCTCACGATTTCATGCCGAGACCCAGCGTTTCGCAACATCCTAGTCAGTTCGATGCTGCAGATCCAGGGTGTGAAGCGCAAATACGGCCGTGCTCCAGCAGCGTACATGGAGAGAGATATTCAACAATTCCTCGAGACGCTGCTGAAGTAATGGTGGACAAATCTACTCATGTTGATCGATCTACCACAGCATTGGATGTTACAGCTACGAGTCCTGAATGCGAACTCTTTGATGACGATCTACAGGTTCTCCATCTACCAGATGATGCTCCACCTTGGACCCAGGCACAGCGCTTGAGTTTCTTGCGAGGGGAGGATAAGAAGGAGTCGTCTGCTACTGCTGCTGATGATCCCCCACCTCCTCGACCAGAACTGAAATCGTCTGAGGCCCCCGTTTTATACGTTTCTCCGCCTCCTCCTCCTCCTCCTCCTCCTCCTCCTCCTCCTCCCGCCCGACCCTCGGATGCCCATATGATCACGGAGTATTTAGCCTCGTGCGGGTTTTTCCCAGGGACCGCCAAATTCGAGACACTTTTTAAGAGTAGGCATATACTGAGCATAGCTAAATCACGAGCTACCTCTTAGTTGCCCTGGTCCCTCGTGGTTACCTCATGCGTCGGTGGCTGCATGGGCCAGGCTGGTCCTTCTCGGGACCTTAGCTGCGGCCCTAGTGCATAGAGCATGGTGTATGCACTCTCCTCTTAAAGCCAAAGGTTCACCGTGCCAGTGGCCATTCGCAGTTGTGCGAAATATCACGATTGGCGATTGCGCGATTTTGCAGAGCTATAGCTTGAGTATATAACCACTCACTATGACAGAAACAATGTTGGCGCTGAAGGTGTGCGAATCGAATCGAATCCTCCTCCTCCTCCTCCTTGGGGCGGGCGGCTGGCACCAGCGGGCCGAGCAGAACGCCAGCGGGGGGCCTCCGCGCGGAAAAAACGCCACGGGGGGGCCACTGGACGGGCTCGCGTGCGGACACCGGGCACACCCGTCGACTCAGGGCGGTGCTCTCGTCCGGACTGGCCGAGTCACGTGCATCCAGCCTCTGCTGTCGTGGGGTATGACAACTGGCCATCGCTCGGACGTCCATTCCATGTGTTTTTCTTTGGTTTCGTGCGTGTTTTTTTCGCCAAGTGATCAAGGATGCTCCTCGATGGCCCTCGCCGAGAAAAAATGCACACGTCCGAGCGATGCCAGGACAAACTACGCAGAACCGTAGGTTCAACAAGCGGCGGCGGCGATGCTCGCGTAAGCGCTGGCGGCGGTGGCCATGCAAGGTAGCAGCACTGACTGCGACGGGGAGCGGAGGCGGACTCGGAGGCGAGGGGATGGAGAGGATGGGGAGGATGGGAGGGGAGGTGGGGCCATGGGTGCGGGTCCAAGGGGCTCTTGGCAAAGGCGGAATGGGGGACGGACAAGACCTCCTCTCCCTCTTCTTCTTCTTCTTCGTATTCTTATTCCTCTTTCTCCTCGTTCTCAACAAACAGCAAACAGCTGTGCTGTCAAAAGCGTTCCAAATTCTATGGAGGCCGCGCAAGCAAAAGAAAGAGGACAACGAACGGCTGGAGCCTCGGAACCGGCACGGTGTCCTGGGGAAGGAATCGGGGCAATTGCGGCGCATGGCGGCGTTTGCTGCTTCACAGTCTGCCTTCTTCGCTCTGGACGACTTGACGAATGGCACGCGATCGACGCTATTTCCAGGCACAAGATTCATCAACATATCATTGCAACGGCAGGATACGTATATGGAATTCCTTTTGGAGGCGGCAAGGACTGGTTCGTAGCGCAGATGCTGGCGTTGAAGGCAAATTCATATAGCGGATTGAATGGAAATCAATGGACAGTTATATGCAGAGAAGGCGACATGATGGAAGCGAGTAAAACGTGAGGATCTGCCACACATACATCTGAAGTCTGGCTGTAAAACGGGGCCCGCTCCCCAATTAGCACATCGGGTGTCGTGAAGCTTCTCTGGGGAATATCGGGTGTCGTCAGCATATCGCGTGCGATCGAATAGCATGTGGCCAGCGGACGGAAAAGGGGTCCCACGTGAGGGGGAACAACAAACTTACGCGGCTAATTACGCTGGCCGCTGACGCGGCCTGCGCGAATGTCCGCACGAAAGACAACTTTTTTGGTGTCGGGAAGCGAACTGGCCAAACATCCACTAAACATGAGCGTCGATAATGCATCGGCGTGTTCTTGAACAAAAACTTCTCGTGGAACTGTTCCGGATCGAATGCTCGAAACTTTTCAACTATGCACGGCTGCTTATCGACGGACACCGCACTCACAAACTCATGGGCTTTTCCAGAACAAATCGAACAATGCTTGAGGAGCGTCAATGGCTCCATCTGGACGTTGTTGCTACTCCTGCTAAGCCGAACAGAGCTTGCTTGTAAGTTGGCATGCGCTCTGCGAGCACGCCGATAAGAACTACTGAGACCATCCAACCCGCATAGAGACCAGTGTACGATGAAGGGCGCAGATGCCGCTCGCGAGACGGAGGTCACCATCCACACCGTCGAGCCAGAGACTTGGCGGCGGCCGGAAGGTTTGAACAGGATAGGGCCCCAGACAATCGGTTAGGAGGGGGGATGAAGCCCAAACCGCTCCACGTCGGTCCGAAGACGCCTCCCTGGGGCCACCTGGCGCAGCTTTTAACCCCGGATCCGCTCCTGACGGCCGAAGGGACCCAAAAATGGCGCGGGGGAGCCGAAGAAGACAAAAACAGCCTTCACCCAGAACCTCGAACCTCTTCCCCGAGCGGCTGCCCTAGAAGGTAGGGCAGCGGGAAGCTCGCTGCGGTCGGTGCTCTGGAGACCCCCGGCCGACCGCTCGGGCAAGGTGGCAGCCACGTCCTGTGAGCACTGTCATCCATCTGTGGCCAGAGTGGGAAACATGGATTGCTGTACTGCTTGTACCCCCTCCCGCGCGCGAGAACCGGCGCTGGGCCACCCAGCAGCACGTTCAAATGGCACACTCATCTTGGAGGTCGCTTGGGGGGCAGCGTTGTTTCCAGGGCCAGATCCCAGTACGCTCAGCCGGCGCGCTTGATCCGTCAATAACAATCCTTACGACACCCATTCGCGACAATTTGGGACCTTAGAATTGCTCTTACCAACGATTGGGCTGCTAAGGTTTGCTCTTACGCTACGAGCATTGCCTCCTCCTCCGTCGCCCCAGAAACACAAATCGCGTTCGCTGCCCCTCAGCGACGGCGCTGCTTGCGCCCGCTGGCCCTAAGCCACCGGGGCCCCTCTCGCCTGCGACTCGCGGGTCTGGCCCTGCCCCCGGTAGCTGTTTATACACCAGGGGCTCGGCCACAAGAAACCTTCCACCAACCCTGAGACCCCAGGACGTCCATGGATTTGTGGTGTGGGAACACCACGCCTTCCACAGCAGAGCCATCGAAACCCAAGAAACCCTGGAGACAAGCAGGGTGTTTCTTGGCTTAGGTCTCTACTGTAAGCGCTTCGCGACTTCTGCTGCCTCTTCCTTCGCGCTCGAGCTTCGACGAATTCTCCAGATGTACTAGAGCATCTCTGCACTTACCTCGATCCGTTTAGAATTGCATGGATTCGTGCCGCCGCACCTCGATTTTTGGCTTCATCCCCGCGAGCCGACTGGAGAAGCGTCTTCCGCGGGGCACTCTGCCGCACTGCTCTGCCACGTACGGAAGGCCGCATGCCTCTGAAGG